TAGAAGCAGCTAAGAAAATGTTGCAAAGGATTCGTGGCATTGATAATGTTGAGGAGGAGTTCCAAGACCTCGTTGATGCGACTACAGCGGCCAAAGATGTGGAACACCCATGGAAGAACATTACACAACCAAAATATAGACCTCAACTCACTTTTTGCTCTCTGATTCCATTCTTCCAACAATTCACTGGTATCAATGTCATAATGTTTTATGCACCCGTCCTCTTCAAAACTTTAGGCTTTGGTAACGATACTTCCCTTATGTCTTCCGTTATCACTGGAGGTGTTAATGTGGTTGCCACTGTTGTTTCCATTTTCACCGTGGACAAGTTTGGAAGAAGGATATTGTTCCTCGAAGGTGGCATTCAAATGTTTGTTTGTCGGGTAAAATCTTTAACTTAATCAATAGACAATGCTTGTTATTTTAATATTTTAAAAAAATTATCATTTTTATCACTTTAGTTAAGTCAATTTTTTAGCATGAACAACTAATTTGGAGGCCATAATAATTGCTTGTAGCTTGTCTGTTGGAACCATGATTGCTATGAAGTTTGGAGTGAGCGGTGAAGGCTCATTTACCAATGGAGAAGCTAGTCTCCTCTTATTTTTTATATGTGCATATGTTGCAGCATATGCATGGTCTTGGGGTCCACTAGGGTGGTTGGTTCCAAGTGAAATATGTTCTCTTGAGGTTCGATCGGCAGGTCAAGGCACCAATGTTGCTGTAAACATGTTGTTCACCTTTGTCATTGCTCAAATTTTCCTAACCATGCTTTGTCACTTGAAGTTTGGCCTTTTCTTCTTCTTTGCTGGATTTGTCCTCATCATGACCATTTTTGTTGCCTTGTTCCTACCCGAGACAAGGAATGTTCGAATTGAAGAAATGAATAAAGTATGGAAATCACACTTGGTTTTGGACTAGGTTCATTCCAAATGATACCAGTCATCGATGGACACCCTCATATGGTCACACCTTGAAATTAAATTCACCAATATTTTCATTTAAATGAGCCAAAAAAACTTCTATCATTTTTCACATGATCTCATTGTAATTACGTAAATCGTATTTATTTATTTATTATTTTTTTAGTACTACTTGGATTTTGTTTGATTTTATATTTAAAGTTAATGTTGAGTTATTTGATTAAATAGTTGGTCAAAATATTTGACACTTATTCAAAACACATTGTTATTTAACAAACACTACATACGTACAACACTATGGGTATGTTTGGACCTAAGTTGAAATCGTATTGAAGGAAGAAAATTGTACATTCCAATGTATAAATAGGTATGCAATGCAAATGTTGAATTAAGTTAAACTTAAAAATGAATTTAATGAGACAAAATTCAAATCCATACACACAATTAAACTTGTTGGGGATTATGTTTTGTTGAAAGTTTCGAAATCTGTAGAAACTACCACCATATTTTTATTTTAATCGAGAATAATTTTTAGTCTCAAGATTTTCTTCCTTTTTTAATTTTTCAGTTCAAAATTTTATATCAAGTTAAAGTTATGGTATATTTACATGGCGGAGACATTGTCAACATTGATATTAAGGTTAATAATGATGATAGTCATAAATATACTTTCCTCTGAAGTGGTACGATAAGTAATGGTGATAATGACACTAATTATGATATTGGTGACAATGATAATGAATATAATAATTATGATAACAATGTTTGTGGTAATAATTCTAATATTGATAGAAGTTACGGTAATAACAAAAATGATTGTGGCAATGCTAGTCAAGATAATAGCTATGATAATGACCATGAATAAAATGTTCCCAAATATCAAATTCATATTCATAAATAGTTTTTCATCATTTTGAGAAAAACTCAATTAAGTGTTTCATACCCCAACAAATATTGTGTTAACTCTGGTCCCTTTAATTTATTTTAGATTTCCTTAAAACTTTTCCCATTGTTATCCCCATTATTAAACTATAAGTGATGATTTAACTAACACAAGTTGCACATAAGTACTTTATTTTAGGATTCATGTACACACTATGTGGTATATGTAACTATACGTATTCATTTTGATTTCTTTTAAACAAAGTACCATTTGTTTTCAAAGGAGGTGGAATGTGAGGGATTAGTTTCATCGCATGTTGACGCTTTCTTCCCTTAGTAACCTTCATTATTCATTAGGGATATAAGCAAGGAGAAGGGATAGCCTACACCAATTATATTTATTACAATATACACGATGAGAGGCCAAGACACGCAGAAAAGGGCGAGAAAGATAGAAAGTTTTTCTTTGTGTATCTTAACTAGAAGCAATGCAAAAGAACTTTAGAAAAAACTATCTCAAGCCAACCAAAGCATAATGACTCTTGGGACGATTGAAGCTTCAATCATTTGTAAAATTAAATTATTTTATAAACCAATTTAATCGTCTCTTAATAATTTAAAAAAAATTAAAAGTAAATAATTATATCAATGTCAACGAAAAATTTTTATTTTTATTTATTACACCTAATGTTTTACTAATTTTAATTAATTTAATATAATTTTAATTTTTAATATATTTTATTTCTTAAGAAAATTGTGCTATAGTTTTTGTTTCTTGTCTTCGCCTTTGGTTAAGATTTATTTCTAAGGAAGATTCTTTAAAAAGACTAAAGATGAAATATTTTAAAATTACAAAGAAATAAAAATTGTATGGTTCTAAAATTGATATTGGTATAAATTACAAGATCCAAAATATATTTAAACCTTTTACATTAGTTTAGTTTGATTTTAGGATTAGGGAAGACGTTCATAAAAAATATTATATGATAGGTTGTTTAAAGATTATTTTTGTCTTTAATTATAAAACATTGATAACTACAACTCGGAGATTTGTTTTTTCTTGGAAATCTTGTCACACCAACCATTTTGTTAAAGCCTTGCCAGAGGTGATCTTCACTATATTGTTCAGCTTTGTGGTAGTAATTGCTACACACTACCATCACACGTGGTCGGTGTTATTACACTTCATAGATCTCACAACCAAGTTCTACAAAATATATCCCTTCATTGTACAAATCTTCTGGTCATCATCCTTCTTCATATTTAGCTTTGTTGTAATAGTTGTCAGTAGAGTCTTTGGGTTATGCTTGAGGAAACTAATCCTTGTGATTGTATTAGAAAACCAAGTCCAATGATAATTGTATGAGCAAGTATCTTCTTAAATCATGAACACATTTTTCTCCTAATAGACAATGGGTATCTTCAAAATAACCATCTCCTCCACATATAGGCCACCAATTTCCAATTTTATCCTTCCTATACCTAATCTATAAAGAGGCTTAGGAATGATGCAGTATTTGTACTTTATTAACTTTCATTCGGACTCATCCACTCGAAGGGGAGTGGGGAGAGGGGGACCACAAGTACTATAGTACATTCGATCACGGACACAAAGACACAAGATAAAGGCACCACCAACTATAGTGGAACCAAAAGATTTATTAACGAATCCTCTTGAAATACTCTATGCTTTTAGAAAATAGAACAATAGCTACGATAAGTCAACTGCCAACGGACTCACTTAATCACAACCAATGATAACTTTCAGCACTAAACTTGAATAACAACTTTTTCATGTAACACCAATCGAAGATGATGATGGTCGCTAAGGATAAAGAGAACGAACACATATTGAATACAATTTCTAACATTTCACCTACTTCCAAAGAAAAGGATATTTTATTTAAAATACGTAAAAATGATGACATGTTACTTACATTGATGACACAATGAGAACATTAATCCTACAACGAAATGATGATGTGGAACTCTTTTAGCCATGTCATCAATTAACCATGTATTAATAACATGAAACACAACTAATTTTATTTTTTTAAATGCAAGTAGAAAATGAAAAAAAATAAAGAAAAAGGAACAAAAAAAGTGGCAACATTTATTTGGCCAATGAATATTTTATGAATATACTCATATTGTTTTATAATATATTTATCAATGTAATATATAATCGTATAAATTCAATTGTTAATGAAAATTATTTGAATTATAAATAGATTATATCATTGACTAATGGTCGAAATAAAATATCCTTCTAAAATTAATGATTATCAAAGCGATGTGTAGCTATCAAATAGTTAGCTCTTATGTCAAATTCTTAAAACAAGACATTAGTTATGACAGAAAGAAACAAGGCGCATAAGTTAGGATATTGATAGCATGATAGATAATAAAATGACTCAAAAAGATATAATATTGTTACAAAAGCTATTTCGTTATTATACGCGCATTCTTACTTGTTAGATGCTATCATTAACATGTTTAATATTATAAAAACAAGTTACTACTTCACCTCTAATACGTAGAAGAGGAAGGGAATATTGCTAAGACAAGCAAACATATTCACTTAAAGTATAATATTTGGAAAGATGGCGGGTGGAGCTTTAGTAACTCTAGAAAACGGAAGACAATATGAGGGTAAGATCACAACGTTCGTGTTGGTCACGTGTTTTGTAGCAGCCATGGGTGGTTTACTCTTTGGTTATGATCTTGGGATCACGGGAGGAGTGACTTCCATGGAACCTTTCCTAATAAAATTCTTTCCTAGTGTTTATAAACAAATGAAAGACGAATCTAACCACGAAAGCCAATATTGCAAATTTGACAATGAGCTCCTTACTTTGTTCACCTCTTCATTATATCTTGCTGCATTAATAGCTTCTTTTTGTGCTTCCACCACCACAAGAATGATGGGACGCAAGACCTCAATGTTTGTAGGTGGTTTTTTTTTCCTTGTGGGTGCTTTGTTGAATGGTTTTGCCATCAATATTGAGATGCTTATCATAGGTCGTTTATTGCTTGGTTTTGGTGTTGGATATTGTAATCAGGTGAGACTTCGTATCATTTTCAATGCTTTCAAGTTTTATTATAAATGTAGATAACTTTTCATGATTAACTATTTTAAAATGTTTTCTTTCATTATTATTATATCCAATAGTCTGCACTGTGTATTTGTCCGAAATGGCCCCAACAAGGATAAGAGGTGCACTCAACATTGGATTTCAAATGATGATCACAATTGGCATATTAATTGCAAACCTTATCAACTATGGGACTGCAAAACTAGAATATGGTTGGAGAGTTTCTTTAGGTATTGGTGCAGTTCCCGCAATAATGTTATGTGTAGGAGCTCTTTTCTTAGGTGACACGCCAAACTCTCCGATTGAAAGAGGTAAAATAGAAGCAGACTAAGAAAATGTTGCAAAGGATTCGTGGCATTGATAATGTTGAGGAGGAGTTCCAAGACCTCGTTGATGCGACTACAGCAGCCAAAGATGTGGAACACCCATGGAAGAACATTACACAACCAAAATATAGACCTCAACTCACTTTTTGCTCTCTGATTCCATTCTTCCAACAATTCACTCGGTATCAATGTCATAATGTTTTATGCACCCGTCCTCTTCAAAACTTTAGGCTTTGGTAACGATACTTCCCTTATGTCTTCCGTTATCACTGGAGGTGTTAATGTGGTTGCCACTGTTGTTTCCATTTTCACCGTGGACAAGTTTGGAAGAAGGATATTGTTCCTCGAAGGTGGCATTCAAATGTTTGTTTGTCGGGTAAAATCTTTAACTTAATCAATAGACAATGCTTGTTATTTTAATATTTTAAAAAAATTATCATTTTTATCACTTTAGTTAAGTCAATTTTTTAGCATGAACAACTAATTTGGAGGCCATAATAATTGCTTGTAGCTTGCTCGTTGGAACCATGATTGCTATGAAGTTTGGAGTGAGCGGTGAAGGCTCATTTACCAATGGAGAAGCTAGTCTCCTCTTATTTTTTATATGTGCATATGTTGCAGCATATGCATGGTCTTGGGGTCCACTAGGGTGGTTGGTTCCAAGTGAAATATGTTCTCTTGAGGTTCGATCGGCAGGTCAAGGCACCAATGTTGCTTGTAAACATGTTGTTCACCTTTGTCATTGCTCAAATTTTCCTAACCATGCTTTGTCACTTGAAGTTTGGCCTTTTCTTCTTCTTTGCTGGATTTTTCCTCATCATGACCATTTTTGTTGCCTTGTTCCTACCCGAGACAAGGAATGTTCGAATTGAAGAAATGAATAAAGTATGGAAATCACACTGGTTTTGGACTAGGTTCATTCCAAATGATACCGTCATCGATGGACACCCTCATATGGTCACACCTTGAAATTAAATTCACCAATATTTTCATTTAAATGAGCCAAAAAAACTTCTATCATTTTTCACATGATCTCATTGTAATTACGTAAATCGTATTTATTTATTTATTATTTTTTTAGTACTACTTGGATTTTGTTTGATTTTATAATTAAAGTTAATGTTGAGTTATTTGATTAAATAGTTGGTCAAAATATTTGACACTTATTCAAAACTCATTGTTATTTAACAAACACTACATATGTACAACACTATGGGTATGTTTGGACCTAAGTTGAAATCATATTGAATGAAGAAAATTGTACATTCTAATATATAAATAGGTATGCAAGTGCAAATGTTGAATTAAGTTAAACTTAAAAATGAATTTAATGAGACAAAATTCAAATCCAAACGCACAATTAAACTTGTTGGGGATTATGTTTTGTTGAAAGTTTCAAAATTTGTAGAAACTACCACCATATTTTTACTTTAATGGAGAATAATTTTTAGTCTCAAAACTTTCTTCCTTTTTTAATTTTTCAGTTCAAAATTTTATATCAAGTTAAAGTTATGGTATATTTACATGGCGGAGACATTGCCAACGTTGATATTAAGGTTAATAATGATGATAGTCATAAATATACTTTCCTCGGAAGTGGTACGATAAGTAATGGTGATAATGACACTAATTATGATATTGGTGACAATGATAATGAATATAATAATTATGATAACAATGTTTGTGGTAATAATTCTAATATTGATAGAAGTTACGGTAATAACAAAAATGATTGTGGCAATGCTAGTCAAGATAATAGCTATGATAATGACCATGAATAAAATGTTCCCAAATATCAAATTCATATTCATAAATAGTTTTTCATCATTTTGAGAAAAACTCAATTAAGTGTTTCATACCCCAACAAATATTGTGTTAACTCTGGTCCCTTTAATTTATTTTAGATTTCCTTAAAACTTTTCCCATTGTTATCCCCATTATTAAACTATAAGTGATGATTTAACTAACACAGTTGCACATAAGTACTTTATTTTAGGATTCATGTACACACTATGTGGTATATGTAACTATACGTATTCATTTTGATTTCTTTTAAACAAAGTACCATTTGTTTTCAAAGGAGGTGGAATGTGAGGGATTAGTTTCATCGCATGTTGACGCTTTCTTCCCTTAGTAACCTTCATTATTCATTAGGGATATAAGCAAGGAGAAGGGATAGCCTACACCAATTATATTTATTACAATATACACGATGAGAGGCCAAGACACGCAGAAAAGGGCCAGAAAGATAGAAAGTTTTTCTTTGTGTATCTTAACTAGAAGCAATGCAAAAGAACTTTAGAAAAAACTATCTCAAGCCAACCAAAGCATAATGACTCTTGGGACGATTGAAGCTTCAATCATTTGTAAAATTAAATTATTTTATAAACCAATTTAATCGTCTCTTAATAATTTAAAAAAATTAAAAGTAAATAATTATATCAATGTCAACGAAAAATTTTATTTTTATTTATTACACCTAATGTTTTACTAATTTTAATTAATTTAATATAATTTTAATTTTTAATATATTTTATTTCTTAAGAAAATTGTGCTATAGTTTTTGTTTCTTGTCTTCGCCTTTGGTTAAGATTTATTTCTAAGGAAGATTCTTTAAAAAGACTAAAGATGAAATATTTTAAAATTACAAAGAAATAAAAATTGTATGGTTCTAAAATTGATATTGGTATAAATTACAAGATCCAAAATATATTTAAACCTTTTACATTAGTTTAGTTTGATTTTAGGATTAGGGAAGACGTTCATAAAAAAATATTATATGATAGGTTGTTTAAAGATTATTTTTGTCTTTAATTATAAAACATTGATAACTACAACTCGGAGATTTGTTTTTTCTTGGAAATCTTGTCACACCAACCATTTTGTTAAAGCCTTGCCGGAGGTGATCTTCACTATATTGTTCAGCTTTGTGGTAGTAATTGCTACACACTACCATCACCGTGGTCGGTGTTATTACACTTCATAGATCTCACAACCAAGTTCTACAAAATATATCCCTTCATTGTACAAATCTTCTGGTCATCATCCTTCTTCATATTTAGCTTTGTTGTAATAGTTGTCCGTAGAGTCTTTGGGTTATGCTTGAGGAAACTAATCCTTGTGATTGTATTAGAAAACCAAGTCCAATGATAATTGTATGAGCAGTATCTTCTTAAATCATGAACACATTTTTCTCCTAATAGACAATGGGTATCTTCAAAATAACCATCTCCTCCACATATAGGCCACCAATTTCCAATTTTATCCTTCCTATACCTAATCTATAAAGAGGCTTAGGAATGATGCAGTATTTGTACTTTATTAACTTTCATTCGGACTCATCCACTCGAAGGGGAGTGGGGAGAGGGGGACCACAAGTACTATAGTACATTCGATCACGAGACACAAAGACACAAGATAAAGGCACCACCAACTATAGTGGAACCAAAAGATTTATTAACGAATCCTCTTGAAATACTCTATGCTTTTAGAAAATAGAACAATAGCTACGATAAGTCAACTGCCAACGGACTCACTTAATCACAACCAATGATAACTTTCAGCACTAAACTTGAATAACAACTTTTTCATGTAACACCAATCGAAGATGATGATGGTCGCTAAGGATAAAGAGAACGAACACATATTGAATACAATTTCTAACATTTCACCTACTTCCAAAGAAAAGGATATTTTATTTAAAATACGTAAAAATGATGACATGTTACTTACATTGATGACACAATGAGAACATTAATCCTACAACGAAATGATGATGTGGAACTCTTTTAGCCATGTCATCAATTAACCATGTATTAATAACATGAAACACAACTAATTTTATTTTTTTAAATGCAAGTAGAAAATGAAAAAAAATAAAGAAAAAGGAACAAAAAAAGTGGCAACATTTATTTGGCCAATGAATATTTTATGAATATACTCATATTGTTTTATAATATATTTATCAATGTAATATATAATCGTATAAATTCAATTGTTAATGAAAATTATTTGAATTATAAATAGATTATATCATTGACTAATGGTCGAAATAAAATATCCTTCTAAAATTAATGATTATCAAAGCGATGTGTAGCTATCAAATAGTTAGCTCTTATGTCAAATTCTTAAAACAAGACATTAGTTATGACGAGAAAGAAACAAGGCGCATAAGTTAGGATATTGATAGCATGATAGATAATAAAATGACTCAAAAAGATATAATATTGTTACAAAAGCTATTTCGTTATTATACGCGCATTCTTACTTGTTAGATGCTATCATTAACATGTTTAATATTATAAAAACAAGTTACTACTTCACCTCTAATACGTAGAAGAGGAAGGGAATATTGCTAAGACAAGCAAACATATTCACTTAAAGTATAATATTTGGAAAGATGGCGGGTGGAGCTTTAGTAACTCTAGAAAACGGAAGACAATATGAGGGTAAGATCACAACGTTCGTGTTGGTCACGTGTTTTGTAGCAGCCATGGGTGGTTTACTCTTTGGTTATGATCTTGGGATCACGGGAGGAGTGACTTCCATGGAACCTTTCCTAATAAAATTCTTTCCTAGTGTTTATAAACAAATGAAAGACGAATCTAACCACGAAAGCCAATATTGCAAATTTGACAATGAGCTCCTTACTTTGTTCACCTCTTCATTATATCTTGCTGCATTAATAGCTTCTTTTTGTGCTTCCACCACCACAAGAATGATGGGACGCAAGACCTCAATGTTTGTAGGTGGTTTTTTTTCCTTGTGGGTGCTTTGTTGAATGGTTTTGCCATCAATATTGAGATGCTTATCATAGGTCGTTTATTGCTTGGTTTTGGTGTTGGATATTGTAATCGTGTGAGACTTCGTATCATTTTCAATGCTTTCAAGTTTTATTATAAATGTAGATAACTTTTCATGATTAACTATTTTAAAATGTTTTCTTTCATTATTATTATATCCAATAGTCCGTACTGTGTATTTGTCCGAAATGGCCCCAACAAGGATAAGAGGTGCACTCAACATTGGATTTCAAATGATGATCACAATTGGCATATTAATTGCAAACCTTATCAACTATGGGACTGCAAAACTAGAATATGGTTGGAGAGTTTCTTTAGGTATTGGTGCAGTTCCCGCAATAATGTTATGTGTAGGAGCTCTTTTCTTAGGTGACACGCCAAACTCTCTGATTGAAAGAGGTAAAATAGAAGCAGCTAAGAAAATGTTGCAAAGGATTCGTGGCATTGATAATGTTGAGGAGGAGTTCCAAGACCTCGTTGATGCGACTACAGCAGCCAAAGATGTGGAACACCCATGGAAGAACATTACACAACCAAAATATAGACCTCAACTCACTTTTTGCTCTCTGATTCCATTCTTCCAACAATTCACCGGTATCAATGTCATAATGTTTTATGCACCCGTCCTCTTCAAAACTTTAGGCTTTGGTAACGATACTTCCCTTATGTCTTCCGTTATCACCTGGAGGTGTTAATGTGGTTGCCACTGTTGTTTCCATTTTCACCGTGGACAAGTTTGGAAGAAGGATATTGTTCCTCGAAGGTGGCATTCAAATGTTTGTTTGTCGGGTAAAATCTTTAACTTAATCAATAGACAATGCTTGTTATTTTAATATTTTAAAAAAATTATCATTTTTATCACTTTAGTTAAGTCAATTTTTTAGCATGAACAACTAATTTGGAGGCCATAATAATTGCTTGTAGCTTGTCTGTTGGAACCATGATTGCTATGAAGTTTGGAGTGAGCGGTGAAGGCTCATTTACCAATGGAGAAGCTAGTCTCCTCTTATTTTTTATATGTGCATATGTTGCAGCATATGCATGGTCTTGGGGTCCACTAGGGTGGTTGGTTCCAAGTGAAATATGTTCTCTTGAGGTTCGATCGGCAGGTTAAGGCACCAATGTTGCTGTAAACATGTTGTTCACCTTTGTCATTGCTCAAATTTTCCTAACCATGCTTTGTCACTTGAAGTTTGGCCTTTTCTTCTTCTTTGCTGGATTTGTCCTCATCATGACCATTTTTGTTGCCTTGTTCCTACCCGAGACAAGGAATGTTCGAATTGAAGAAATGAATAAAGTATGGAAATCACACTCGGTTTTGGACTAGGTTCATTCCAAATGATACCGTCATCGATGGACACCCTCATATGGTCACACCTTGAAATTAAATTCACCAATATTTTCATTTAAATGAGCCAAAAAAACTTCTATCATTTTTCACATGATCTCATTGTAATTACGTAAATCGTATTTATTTATTTATTATTTTTTTAGTACTACTTGGATTTTGTTTGATTTTATATTTAAAGTTAATGTTGAGTTATTTGATTAAATAGTTGGTCAAAATATTTGACACTTATTCAAAACACATTGTTATTTAACAAACACTACATATGTACAACACTATGGGTATGTTTGGACCTAAGTTGAAATCATATTGAATGAAGAAAATTGTACATTCTAATATATAAATAGGTATGCAATGCAAATGTTGAATTAAGTTAAACTTAAAAATGAATTTAATGAGACAAAATTCAAATCCAAACGCACAATTAAACTTGTTGGGGATTATGTTTTGTTGAAAGTTTCAAAATTTGTAGAAACTACCACCATATTTTTACTTTAATGGAGAATAATTTTTAGTCTCAAAACTTTCTTCCTTTTTTAATTTTTCAGTTCAAAATTTTATATCAAGTTAAAGTTATGGTATATTTACATGGCGGAGACATTGCCAACGTTGATATTAAGGTTAATAATGATGATAGTCATAAATATACTTTCCTCTGAAGTGGTACGATAAGTAATGGTGATAATGACACTAATTATGATATTGGTGACAATGATAATGAATATAATAATTATGATAACAATGTTTGTGGTAATAATTCTAATATTGATAGAAGTTACGGTAATAACAAAAATGATTGTGGCAATGCTAGTCAAGATAATAGCTATGATAATGACCATGAATAAAATGTTCCCAAATATCAAATTCATATTCATAAATAGTTTTTCATCATTTTGAGAAAAACTCAATTAAGTGTTTCATACCCCAACAAATATTGTGTTAACTCTGGTCCCTTTAATTTATTTTAGATTTCCTTAAAACTTTTCCCATTGTTATCCCCATTATTAAACTATAAGTGATGATTTAACTAACACAGTTGCACATAAGTACTTTATTTTAGGATTCATGTACACACTATGTGGTATATGTAACTATACGTATTCATTTTGATTTCTTTTAAACAAAGTACCATTTGTTTTCAAAGGAGGTGGAATGTGAGGGATTAGTTTCATCGCATGTTGACGCTTTCTTCCCTTAGTAACCTTCATTATTCATTAGGGATATAAGCAAGGAGAAGGGATAGCCTACACCAATTATATTTATTACAATATACACGATGAGAGGCCAAGACACGCGAAAAGGGCCAGAAAGATAGAAAGTTTTTCTTTGTGTATCTTAACTAGAAGCAATGCAAAAGAACTTTAGAAAAAACTATCTCAAGCCAACCAAAGCATAATGACTCTTGGGACGATTGAAGCTTCAATCATTTGTAAAATTAAATTATTTTATAAACCAATTTAATCGTCTCTTAATAATTTAAAAAAAATTAAAAGTAAATAATTATATCAATGTCAACGAAAAATTTTTATTTTTATTTATTACACCTAATGTTTTACTAATTTTAATTAATTTAATATAATTTTAATTTTTAATATATTTTATTTCTTAAGAAAATTGTGCTATAGTTTTTGTTTCTTGTCTTCGCCTTTGGTTAAGATTTATTTCTAAGGAAGATTCTTTAAAAAGACTAAAGATGAAATATTTTAAAATTACAAAGAAATAAAAATTGTATGGTTCTAAAATTGATATTGGTATAAATTACAAGATCCAAAATATATTTAAACCTTTTACATTAGTTTAGTTTGATTTTAGGATTAGGGAAGACGTTCATAAAAAAATATTATATGATAGGTTGTTTAAAGATTATTTTTGTCTTTAATTATAAAACATTGATAACTACAACTCGGAGATTTGTTTTTTCTTGGAAATCTTGTCACACCAACCATTTTGTTAAAGCCTTGCCGGAGGTGATCTTCACTATATTGTTCAACTTTGTGGTAGTAATTGCTACACACTACCATCACTGTGGTCGGTGTTATTACACTTCATAGATCTCACAACCAAGTTCTACAAAATATATCCCTTCATTGTACAAATCTTCTGGTCATCATCCTTCTTCATATTTAGCTTTGTTGTAATAGTTGTCCGTAGAGTCTTTGGGTTATGCTTGAGGAAACTAATCCTTGTGATTGTATTAGAAAACCAAGTCCAATGATAATTGTATGAGCAGTATCTTCTTAAATCATGAACACATTTTTCTCCTAATAGACAATGGGTATCTTCAAAATAACCATCTCCTCCACATATAGGCCACCAATTTCCAATTTTATCCTTCCTATACCTAATCTATAAAGAGGCTTAGGAATGATGCAGTATTTGTACTTTATTAACTTTCATTCGGACTCATCCACTCGAAGGGGAGTGGGGAGAGGGGGACCACAAGTACTATAGTACATTCGATCACAGTACACAAAGACACAAGATAAAGGCACCACCAACTATAGTGGAACCAAAAGATTTATTAACGAATCCTCTTGAAATACTCTATGCTTTTAGAAAATAGAACAATAGCTACGATAAGTCAACTGCCAACGGACTCACTTAATCACAACCAATGATAACTTTCAGCACTAAACTTGAATAACAACTTTTTCATGTAACACCAATCGAAGATGATGATGGTCGCTAAGGATAAAGAGAACGAACACATATTGAATACAATTTCTAACATTTCACCTACTTCCAAAGAAAAGGATATTTTATTTAAAATACGTAAAAATGATGACATGTTACTTACATTGATGACACAATGAGAACATTAATCCTACAACGAAATGATGATGTGGAACTCTTTTAGCCATGTCATCAATTAACCATGTATTAATAACATGAAACACAACTAATTTTATTTTTTTAAATGCAAGTAGAAAATGAAAAAAAATAAAGAAAAAGGAACAAAAAAAGTGGCAACATTTATTTGGCCAATGAATATTTTATGAATATACTCATATTGTTTTATAATATATTTATCAATGTAATATATAATCGTATAAATTCAATTGTTAATGAAAATTATTTGAATTATAAATAGATTATATCATTGACTAATGGTCGAAATAAAATATCCTTCTAAAATTAATGATTATCAAAGCGATGTGTAGCTATCAAATAGTTAGCTCTTATGTCAAATTCTTAAAACAAGACATTAGTTATGACAGAAAGAAACAAGGCGCATAAGTTAGGATATTGATAGCATGATAGATAATAAAATGACTCAAAAAGATATAATATTGTTACAAAAGCTATTTCGTTATTATACGCGCATTCTTACTTGTTAGATGCTATCATTAACATGTTTAATATTATAAAAACAAGTTACTACTTCACCTCTAATACGTAGAAGAGGAAGGGAATATTGCTAAGACAAGCAAACATATTCACTTAAAGTATAATATTTGGAAAGATGGCGGGTGGAGCTTTAGTAACTCTAGAAAACGGAAGACAATATGAGGGTAAGATCACAACGTTCGTGTTGGTCACGTGTTTTGTAGCAGCCATGGGTGGTTTACTCTTTGGTTATGATCTTGGGATCACGGGAGGAGTGACTTCCATGGAACCTTTCCTAATAAAATTCTTTCCTAGTGTTTATAAACAAATGAAAGACGAATCTAACCACGAAAATGTTGCAAAGGATTCGTGGCATCGATAATGTCAAGTGAGGAGTTCCAAGACCCGTCGATGCGACTACAAAGAACCCAAAGATGTGGAAACACTCATGGAAGAACATTACACAACCAAAATATAGACCTCAACTCACTTTTGCCTTCCTCGATTCCATTCTTCCAACACCCATCGTATCACCAGTTGGCACGTTTTTTATGCACCGCCCTCTTCAAAAACGTTAGGCTTTGCACGATATTTCCTTATGTCTTCCGCTATCAATTTGAGGTGTTAATGTGGTTGCCATCAAGTGTTTCCATTTTCACCATGGACAAGTTTGCAAGAAGGATATTGTTCTTCGAAGGTGGCATTCAAATGTTTGTTTTTCGTGTAAAATCTTTAACTTAATCAATGGGGACAATGCTTGTTATTTTAATATTTTAAAAAAATTATCATTTTTATCACTTTAGTTAAGTCAATTTTTTAGCATGAACAACTAATTTGGAGGCCATAATAATTGCTTGTAGCTTGTCAGCGTTGAACCATGATTGCTATGAAGTTTGGAGGAGTTGAAGGCCTTCTTACCAATGGAGAAGCTAGTTTTTTATATGTGCATATGTCATGAAGATATGCATGGTCTCGGGGTCCACTAGGGTGGTTGGTTCCAAGTGAAATATGTTCTCTTGAGGTTCGACGCGGTGTCAAGGCACCAATGTTACCGTAAACATGTTGTTCACCTTTCAGCTATTGCTCAAATTTTCCTAATCCATGCTTTGTCACTTGAAGTTTGGCCTTTTCTTCTTCTTTGCTGGATTTGTCCTCATCATGACCATTTTTGTTGCCTTGTTCCTACCCGAGACAAGGAATGTTCGAATTGAAGAAATGAATAAAGTATGGAAATCACACTGGTTTTGGACTAGGTTCATTCCAAATGATACCGTCATCGATGGACACCCTCATATGGTCACACCTTGAAATTAAATTCACCAATATTTTCATTTAAATGAGCCAAAAAAACTTCTATCATTTTTCACATGATCTCATTGTAATTACGTAAATCGTATTTATTTATTTATTATTTTTTTAGTACTACTTGGATTTTGTTTGATTTTATATTTAAAGTTAATGTTGAGTTATTTGATTAAATAGTTGGTCAAAATATTTGACACTTATTCAAAACACATTGTTATTTAACAAACACTACATATGTACAACACTATGGGTATGTTTGGACCTAAGTTGAAATCATATTGAATGAAGAAAATTGTACATTCTAATATATAAATAGGTATGCAGTGCAAATGTTGAATTAAGTTAAACTTAAAAATGAATTTAATGAGACAAAATTCAAATCCAAACGCACAATTAAACTTGTTGGGGATTATGTTTTGTTGAAAGTTTCAAAATTTGTAGAAACTACCACCATATTTTTACTTTAATGGAGAATAATTTTTAGTCTCAAAACTTTCTTCCTTTTTTAATTTTTCAGTTCAAAATTTTATATCAAGTTAAAGTTATCGTATATTTACATGGCGGAGACATTGCCAACGTTGATATTAAGGTTAATAATGATGATAGTCATAAATATACTTTCCTCGGAAGTGGTACGATAAGTAATGGTGATAATGACACTAATTATGATATTGGTGACAATGATAATGAATATAATAATTATGATAACAATGTTTGTGGTAATAATTCTAATATTGATAGAAGTTACGGTAATAACAAAAATGATTGTGGCAATGCTAGTCAAGATAATAGCTATGATAATGACCATGAATAAAATGTTCCCAAATATCAAATTCATATTCATAAATAGTTTTTCATCATTTTGAGAAAAACTCAATTAAGTGTTTCATACCCCAACAAATATTGTGTTAACTCTGGTCCCTTTAATTTATTTTAGATTTCCTTAAAACTTTTCCCATTGTTATCCCCATTATTAAACTATAAGTGATGATTTAACTAACACAGTTGCACATAAGTACTTTATTTTAGGATTCATGTACACACTATGTGGTATATGTAACTATACGTATTCATTTTGATTTCTTTTAAACAAAGTACCATTTGTTTTCAAAGGAGGTGGAATGTGAGGGATTAGTTTCATCGCATGTTGACGCTTTCTTCCCTTAGTAACCTTCATTATTCATTAGGGATATAAGCAAGGAGAAGGGATAGCCTACACCAATTATATTTATTACAATATACACGATGAGAGGCCAAGACACGCGAGAAAAGGGCGAGAAAGATAGAAAGTTTTTCTTTGTGTATCTTAACTAGAAGCAATGCAAAAGAACTTTAGAAAAAACTATCTCAAGCCAACCAAAGCATAATGACTCTTGGGACGATTGAAGCTTCAATCATTTGTAAAATTAAATTATTTTATAAACCAATTTAATCGTCTCTTAATAATTTAAAAAAATTAAAAGTAAATAATTATATCAATGTCAACGAAAAATTTTTATTTTTATTTATTACACCTAATGTTTTACTAATTTTAATTAATTTAATATAATTTTAATTTTTAATATATTTTATTTCTTAAGAAAATTGTGCTATAGTTTTTGTTTCTTGTCTTCGCCTTTGGTTAAGATTTATTTCTAAGGAAGATTCTTTAAAAAGACTAAAGATGAAATATTTTAAAATTACAAAGAAATAAAAATTGTATGGTTCTAAAATTGATATTGGTATAAATTACAAGATCCAAAATATATTTAAACCTTTTACATTAGTTTAGTTTGATTTTAGGATTAGGGAAGACGTTCATAAAAAAATATTATATGATAGGTTGTTTAAAGATTATTTTTGTCTTTAATTATAAAACATTGATAACTACAACTCGGAGATTTGTTTTTTCTTGGAAATCTTGTCACACCAACCATTTTGTTAAAGCCTTGCCGGAGGTGATCTTCACTATATTGTTCAGCTTTGTGGTAGTAATTGCTACACACTACCATCATCGTGGTCGGTGTTATTACACTTCATAGATCTCACAACCAAGTTCTACAAAATATATCCCTTCATTGTACAAATCTTCTGGTCATCATCCTTCTTCATATTTAGCTTTGTTGTAATAGTTGTCCGTAGAGTCTTTGGGTTATGCTTGAGGAAACTAATCCTTGTGATTGTATTAGAAAACCAAGTCCAATGATAATTGTATGAGCAGTATCTTCTTAAATCATGAACACATTTTTCTCCTAATAGACAATGGGTATCTTCAAAATAACCATCTCCTCCACATATAGGCCACCAATTTCCAATTTTATCCTTCCTATACCTAATCTATAAAGAGGCTTAGGAATGATGCAGTATTTGTACTTTATTAACTTTCATTCGGACTCATCCACTCGAAGGGGAGTGGGGAGAGGGGGACCACAGATACTATAGTACATTCGATCACGAACACAAAGACACAAGATAAAGGCACCACCAACTATAGTGGAACCAAAAGATTTATTAACGAATCCTCTTGAAATACTCTATGCTTTTAGAAAATAGAACAATAGCTACGATAAGTCAACTGCCAACGGACTCACTTAATCACAACCAATGATAACTTTCAGCACTAAACTTGAATAACAACTTTTTCATGTAACACCAATCGAAGATGATGATGGTCGCTAAGGATAAAGAGAACGAACACATATTGAATACAATTTCTAACATTTCACCTACTTCCAAAGAAAAGGATATTTTATTTAAAATACGTAAAAATGATGACATGTTACTTACATTGATGACACAATGAGAACATTAATCCTACAACGAAATGATGATGTGGAACTCTTTTAGCCATGTCATCAATTAACCATGTATTAATAACATGAAACACAACTAATTTTATTTTTTTAAATGCAAGTAGAAAATGAAAAAAAATAAAGAAAAAGGAACAAAAAAAGTGGCAACATTTATTTGGCCAATGAATATTTTATGAATATACTCATATTGTTTTATAATATATTTATCAATGTAATATATAATCGTATAAATTCAATTGTTAATGAAAATTATTTGAATTATAAATAGATTATATCATTGACTAATGGTCGAAATAAAATATCCTTCTAAAATTAATGATTATCAAAGCGATGTGTAGCTATCAAATAGTTAGCTCTTATGTCAAATTCTTAAAACAAGACATTAGTTATGACAGAAAGAAACAAGGCGCATAAGTTAGGATATTGATAGCATGATAGATAATAAAATGACTCAAAAAGATATAATATTGTTACAAAAGCTATTTCGTTATTATACGCGCATTCTTACTTGTTAGATGCTATCATTAACATGTTTAATATTATAAAAACAAGTTACTACTTCACCTCTAATACGTAGAAGAGGAAGGGAATATTGCTAAGACAAGCAAACATATTCACTTAAAGTATAATATTTGGAAAGATGGCGGGTGGAGCTTTAGTAACTCTAGAAAACGGAAGACAATATGAGGGTAAGATCACAACGTTCGTGTTGGTCACGTGTTTTGTAGCGAGCCATGGGTGGTTTACTCTTTGGTTATGATCTTGGGATCACGGGAGGAGTGACTTCCATGGAACCTTTCCTAATAAAATTCTTTCCTAGTGTTTATAAACAAATGAAAGACGAATCTAACCACGAAAGCCAATATTGCAAATTTGACAATGAGCTCCTTACTTTGTTCACCTCTTCATTATATCTTGCTGCATTAATAGCTTCTTTTTGTGCTTCCACCACCACAAGAATGATGGGACGCAAGACCTCAATGTTTGTAGGTGGGTTTTTTTTCCTTGTGGGTGCTTTGTTGAATGGTTTTGCCATCAATATTGAGATGCTTATCATAGGTCGTTTATTGCTTGGTTTTGGTGTTGGATATTGTAATCAGGTGAGACTTCGTATCATTTTCAATGCTTTCAAGTTTTATTATAAATGTAGATAACTTTTCATGATTAACTATTTTAAAATGTTTTCTTTCATTATTATTATATCCAATAGTCTCGTACTGTGTATTTGTCCGAAATGGCCCCAACAAGGATAAGAGGTGCACTCAACATTGGATTTCAAATGATGATCACAATTGGCATATTAATTGCAAACCTTATCAACTATGGGACTGCAAAACTAGAATATGGTTGGAGAGTTTCTTTAGGTATTGGTGCAGTTCCCGCAATAATGTTATGTGTAGGAGCTCTTTTCTTAGGTGACACGCCAAACTCTCTGATTGAAAGAGGTAAAATAGAAGCGACTAAGAAAATGTTGCAAAGGATTCGTGGCATTGATAATGTTGAGGAGGAGTTCCAAGACCTCGTTGATGCGACTACAAGCAGCCAAAGATGTGGAACACCCATGGAAGAACATTACACAACCAAAATATAGACCTCAACTCACTTTTTGCTCTCTGATTCCATTCTTCCAACAATTCACTGGTATCAATGTCATAATGTTTTATGCACCCGTCCTCTTCAAAACTTTAGGCTTTGGTAACGATACTTCCCTTATGTCTTCCGTTATCACTGGAGGTGTTAATGTGGTTGCCACTTGTTGTTTCCATTTTCACCGTGGACAAGTTTGGAAGAAGGATATTGTTCCTCGAAGGTGGCATTCAAATGTTTGTTTGTCGGGTAAAATCTTTAACTTAATCAATAGACAATGCTTGTTATTTTAATATTTTAAAAAAATTATCATTTTTATCACTTTAGTTAAGTCAATTTTTTAGCATGAACAACTAATTTGGAGGCCATAATAATTGCTTGTAGCTTGTTGTTGGAACCATGATTGCTATGAAGTTTGGAGTGAGCGGTGAAGGCTCATTTACCAATGGAGAAGCTAGTCTCCTCTTATTTTTTATATGTGCATATGTTGCAAGCATATGCATGGTCTTGGGGTCCACTAGGGTGGTTGGTTCCAAGTGAAATATGTTCTCTTGAGGTTCGATCGGCAGGTCAAGGCACCAATGTTGCTGTAAACATGTTGTTCACCTTTGTCATTGCTCAAATTTTCCTAACCATGCTTTGTCACTTGAAGTTTGGCCTTTTCTTCTTCTTTGCTTGGATTTGTCCTCATCATGACCATTTTTGTTGCCTTGTTCCTACCCGAGACAAGGAATGTTCGAATTGAAGAAATGAATAAAGTATGGAAATCACACTGGTTTTGGACTAGGTTCATTCCAAATGATACCGTCATCGATGGACACCCTCATATGGTCACACCTTGAAATTAAATTCACCAATATTTTCATTTAAATGAGCCAAAAAAACTTCTATCATTTTTCACATGATCTCATTGTAATTACGTAAATCGTATTTATTTATTTATTATTTTTTTAGTACTACTTGGATTTTGTTTGATTTTATATTTAAAGTTAATGTTGAGTTATTTGATTAAATAGTTGGTCAAAATATTTGACACTTATTCAAAACACATTGTTATTTAACAAACACTACATATGTACAACACTATGGGTATGTTTGGACCTAAGTTGAAATCATATTGAATGAAGAAAATTGTACATTCTAATATATAAATAGGTATGCAGTGCAAATGTTGAATTAAGTTAAACTTAAAAATGAATTTAATGAGACAAAATTCAAATCCAAACGCACAATTAAACTTGTTGGGGATTATGTTTTGTTGAAAGTTTCGAAATTTGTAGAAACTACCACCATATTTTTACTTTAATGGAGAATAATTTTTAGTCTCAAAACTTTCTTCCTTTTTTAATTTTTCAGTTCAAAATTTTATATCAAGTTAAAGTTATGGTATATTTACATGGCGGAGACATTGCCAACGTTGATATTAAGGTTAATAATGATGATAGTCATAAATATACTTTCCTCGGAAGTGGTACGATAAGTAATGGTGATAATGACACTAATTATGATATTGGTGACAATGATAATGAATATAATAATTATGATAACAATGTTTGTGGTAATAATTCTAATATTGATAGAAGTTACGGTAATAACAAAAATGATTGTGGCAATGCTAGTCAAGATAATAGCTATGATAATGACCATGAATAAAATGTTCCCAAATATCAAATTCATATTCATAAATAGTTTTTCATCATTTTGAGAAAAACTCAATTAAGTGTTTCATACCCCAACAAATATTGTGTTAACTCTGGTCCCTTTAATTTATTTTAGATTTCCTTAAAAATTTTCCCATTGTTATCCCCATTATTAAACTATAAGTGATGATTTAACTAACACAGTTGCACATAAGTACTTTATTTTAGGATTCATGTACACACTATGTGGTATATGTAACTATACGTATTCATTTTGATTTCTTTTAAACAAAGTACCATTTGTTTTCAAAGGAGGTGGAATGTGAGGGATTAGTTTCATCGCATGTTGACGCTTTCTTCCCTTAGTAACCTTCATTATTCATTAGGGATATAAGCAAGGAGAAGGGATAGCCTACACCAATTATATTTATTACAATATACACGATGAGAGGCCAAGACACGCAGAAAAGGGCCAGGAAAGATAGAAAGTTTTTCTTTGTGTATCTTAACTAGAAGCAATGCAAAAGAACTTTAGAAAAAACTATCTCAAGCCAACCAAAGCATAATGACTCTTGGGACGATTGAAGCTTCAATCATTTGTAAAATTAAATTATTTTATAAACCAATTTAATCGTCTCTTAATAATTTAAAAAAAATTAAAAGTAAATAATTATATCAATGTCAACGAAAAATTTTTATTTTTATTTATTACACCTAATGTTTTACTAATTTTAATTAATTTAATATAATTTTAATTTTTAATATATTTTATTTCTTAAGAAAATTGTGCTATAGTTTTTGTTTCTTGTCTTCGCCTTTGGTTAAGATTTATTTCTAAGGAAGATTCTTTAAAAAGACTAAAGATGAAATATTTTAAAATTACAAAGAAATAAAAATTGTATGGTTCTAAAATTGATATTGGTATAAATTACAAGATCCAAAATATATTTAAACCTTTTACATTAGTTTAGTTTGATTTTAGGATTAGGGAAGACGTTCATAAAAAAATATTATATGATAGGTTGTTTAAAGATTATTTTTGTCTTTAATTATAAAACATTGATAACTACAACTCAGAGATTTGTTTTTTCTTGGAAATCTTGTCACACCAACCATTTTGTTAAAGCCTTGCCAGAGGTGATCTTCACTATATTGTTCAGCTTTGTGGTAGTAATTGCTACACACTACCATCACTGTGGTCGGTGTTATTACACTTCATAGATCTCACAACCAAGTTCTACAAAATATATCCCTTCATTGTACAAATCTTCTGGTCATCATCCTTCTTCATATTTAGCTTTGTTGTAATAGTTGTCCGTAGAGTCTTTGGGTTATGCTTGAGGAAACTAATCCTTGTGATTGTATTAGAAAACCAAGTCCAATGATAATTGTATGAGCAGTATCTTCTTAAATCATGAACACATTTTTCTCCTAATAGACAATGGGTATCTTCAAAATAACCATCTCCTCCACATATAGGCCACCAATTTCCAATTTTATCCTTCCTATACCTAATCTATAAAGAGGCTTAGGAATGATGCAGTATTTGTACTTTATTAACTTTCATTCAGACTCATCCACTCGAAGGGGAGTGGGGAGAGGGGGACCACAGTACTATAGTACATTCGATCACAGACACAAAGACACAAGATAAAGGCACCACCAACTATAGTGGAACCAAAAGATTTATTAACGAATCCTCTTGAAATACTCTATGCTTTTAGAAAATAGAACAATAGCTACGATAAGTCAATCGCCAACGGACTCACTTAATCACAACCAATGATAACTTTCAGCACTAAACTTGAATAACAACTTTTTCATGTAACACCAATCGAAGATGATTATGGTCGCTAAGGATAAAGAGAACGAACACATATTGAATACAATTTCTAACATTTCACCTACTTCCAAAGAAAAGGATATTTTATTTAAAATACGTAAAAATGATGACATGTTACTTACATTGATGACACAATGAGAACATTAATCCTACAACGAAATGATGATGTGGAACTCTTTTAGCCATGTCATCAATTAACCATGTATTAATAACATGAAACACAACTAATTTTATTTTTTTAAATGCAAGTAGAAAATGAAAAAAAAATAAAGAAAAAGGAACAAAAAAAGTGGCAACATTTATTTGGCCAATGAATATTTTATGAATATACTCATATTGTTTTATAATATATTTATCAATGTAATATATAATCGTATAAATTCAATTGTTAATGAAAATTATTTGAATTATAAATAGATTATATCATTGACTAATGGTCGAAATAAAATATCCTTCTAAAATTAATGATTATCAAAGCGATGTGTAGCTATCAAATAGTTAGCTCTTATGTCAAATTCTTAAAACAAGACATTAGTTATGACAGAAAGAAACAAGGCGCATAAGTTAGGATATTGATAGCATGATAGATAATAAAATGACTCAAAAAGATATAATATTGTTACAAAAGCTATTTCGTTATTATACGCGCATTCTTACTTGTTAGATGCTATCATTAACATGTTTAATATTATAAAAACAAGTTACTACTTCACCTCTAATACGTAGAAGAGGAAGGGAATATTGCTAAGACAAGCAAACATATTCACTTAAAGTATAATATTTGGAAAGATGGCGGGTGGAGCTTTAGTAACTCTAGAAAACGGAAGACAATATGAGGGTAAGATCACAACGTTCGTGTTGGTCACGTGTTTTGTAGCAGCCATGGGTGGTTTACTCTTTGGTTATGATCTTGGGATCACGGGAGGAGTGACTTCCATGGAACCTTTCCTAATAAAATTCTTTCCTAGTGTTTATAAACAAATGAAAGACGAATCTAACCACGAAAGCCAATATTGCAAATTTGACAATGAGCTCCTTACTTTGTTCACCTCTTCATTATATCTTGCTTGCATTAATAGCTTCTTTTTGTGCTTCCACCACCACAAGAATGATGGGACGCAAGACCTCAATGTTTGTAGGTGGTTTTTTTTCCTTGTGGGTGCTTTGTTGAATGGTTTTGCCATCAATATTGAGATGCTTATCATAGGTCGTTTATTGCTTGGTTTTGGTGTTGGATATTGTAATCAGGTGAGACTTCGTATCATTTTCAATGCTTTCAAGTTTTATTATAAATGTAGATAACTTTTCATGATTAACTATTTTAAAATGTTTTCTTTCATTATTATTATATCCAATAGTCTGTACCTGTGTATTTGTCTGAAATGGCCCCAACAAGGATAAGAGGTGCACTCAACATTGGATTTCAAATGATGATCACAATTGGCATATTAATTGCAAACCTTATCAACTATGGGACTGCAAAACTAGAATATGGTTGGAGAGTTTCTTTAGGTATTGGTGCAGTTCCCGCAATAATGTTATGTGTAGGAGCTCTTTTCTTAGGTGACACGCCAAACTCTCTGATTGAAAGAGGTAAAATAGAAGCAGCTAAGAAAATGTTGCAAAGGATTCGTGGCATTGATAATGTTGAGGAGGAGTTCCAAGACCTCGTTGATGCGACTACAGCAGCCAAAGATGTGGAACACCCATGGAAGAACATTACACAACCAAAATATAGACCTCAACTCACTTTTTGCTCTCTGATTCCATTCTTCCAACAATTCACTGGTATCAATGTCATAATGTTTTATGCACCCGTCCTCTTCAAAACTTTAGGCTTTGGTAACGATACTTCCCTTATGTCTTCCGTTATCACTGGAGGTGTTAATGTGGTTGCCACTGTTGTTTCCATTTTCACCGTGGACAAGTTTGGAAGAAGGATATTGTTCCTCGAAGGTGGCATTCAAATGTTTGTTTGTCAGGTAAAATCTTTAACTTAATCAATAGACAATGCTTGTTATTTTAATATTTTAAAAAAATTATCATTTTTATCACTTTAGTTAAGTCAATTTTTTAGCATGAACAACTAATTTGGAGGCCATAATAATTGCTTGTAGCTTGCTGTTGGAACCATGATTGCTATGAAGTTTGGAGTGAGCGGTGAAGGCTCATTTACCAATGGAGAAGCTAGTCTCCTCTTATTTTTTATATGTGCATATGTTGCAGCATATGCATGGTCTTGGGGTCCACTAGGGTGGTTGGTTCCAAGTGAAATATGTTCTCTTGAGGTTCGATCAGCAGGTCAAGGCACCAATGTTGCTGTAAACATGTTGTTCACCTTTGTCATTGCTCAAATTTTCCTAACCATGCTTTGTCACTTGAAGTTTGGCCTTTTCTTCTTCTTTGCTGGATTTGTCCTCATCATGACCATTTTTGTTGCCTTGTTCCTACCCGAGACAAGGAATGTTCGAATTGAAGAAATGAATAAAGTATGGAAATCACACTGGTTTTGGACTAGGTTCATTCCAAATGATACCATCATCGATGGACACCCTCATATGGTCACACCTTGAAATTAAATTCACCAATATTTTCATTTAAATGAGCCAAGCAAAAAAATTCTATCATTGGTCACATGATCTCATTGTAATTACGTAAATCGTATTTATTTATTTATTATTTTTTTAGTACTACTTGGATTTTGTTTGATTTTATATTTAAAGTTAATGTTGAGTTATTTGATTAAATAGTTGGTCAAAATATTTGACACTTATTCAAAACACATTGTTATTTAACAAACACTACATATGTACAACACTATGGGTATGTTTGGACCTAAGTTGAAATCATATTGAATGAAGAAAATTGTACATTCTAATATATAAATAGGTATGCAGTGCAAATGTTGAATTAAGTTAAACTTAAAAATGAATTTAATGAGACAAAATTCAAATCCAAACGCACAATTAAACTTGTTGGGGATTATGTTTTGTTGAAAGTTTCAAAATTTGTAGAAACTACCACCATATTTTTACTTTAATGGAGAATAATTTTTAGTCTCAAAACTTTCTTCCTTTTTTAATTTTTCAGTTCAAAATTTTATATCAAGTTAAAGTTATGGTATATTTACATGGCGGAGACATTGCCAACGTTGATATTAAGGTTAATAATGATGATAGTCATAAATATACTTTCCTCGAAGTGGTACGATAAGTAATGGTGATAATGACACTAATTATGATATTGGTGACAATGATAATGAATATAATAATTATGATAACAATGTTTGTGGTAATAATTCTAATATTGATAGAAGTTACAGGTAATAACAAAAATGATTGTGGCAATGCTAGTCAAGATAATAGCTATGATAATGACCATGAATAAAATGTTCCCAAATATCAAATTCATATTCATAAATAGTTTTTCATCATTTTGAGAAAAACTCAATTAAGTGTTTCATACCCCAACAAATATTGTGTTAACTTCTGGTCCCTTTAATTTATTTTAGATTTCCTTAAAACTTTTCCCATTGTTATCCCCATTATTAAACTATAAGTGATGATTTAACTAACACAGTTGCACATAAGTACTTTATTTTAGGATTCATGTACACACTATGTGGTATATGTAACTATACGTATTCATTTTGATTTCTTTTAAACAAAGTACCATTTGTTTTCAAAGGAGGTGGAATGTGAGGGATTAGTTTCATCGCATGTTGACGCTTTCTTCCCTTAGTAACCTTCATTATTCATTAGGGATATAAGCAAGGAGAAGGGATAGCCTACACCAATTATATTTATTACAATATACACGATGAGAGGCCAAGACACGCGAGAAAGGGCGAGAAAGATAGAAAGGTTTTCTTTGTGTATCTTAACTAGAAGCAATGCAAAAGAACTTTAGAAAAAACTATCTCAAGCCAACCAAAGCATAATGACTCTTGGGACGATTGAAGCTTCAATCATTTGTAAAATTAAATTATTTTATAAACCAATTTAATCGTCTCTTAATAATTTAAAAAAAATTAAAAGTAAATAATTATATCAATGTCAACGAAAAATTTTTATTTTTATTTATTACACCTAATGTTTTACTAATTTTAATTAATTTAATATAATTTTAATTTTTAATATATTTTATTTCTTAAGAAAATTGTGCTATAGTTTTTGTTTCTTGTCTTCGCCTTTGGTTAAGATTTATTTCTAAGGAAGATTCTTTAAAAAGACTAAAGATGAAATATTTTAAAATTACAAAGAAATAAAAATTGTATGGTTCTAAAATTGATATTGGTATAAATTACAAGATCCAAAATATATTTAAACCTTTTACATTAGTTTAGTTTGATTTTAGGATTAGGGAAGACGTTCATAAAAAAATATTATATGATAGGTTGTTTAAAGATTATTTTTGTCTTTAATTATAAAACATTGATAACTACAACTCAGAGATTTGTTTTTTCTTGGAAATCTTGTCACACCAACCATTTTGTTAAAGCCTTGCCAGAGGTGATCTTCACTATATTGTTCAGCTTTGTGGTAGTAATTGCTACACACTACCATCACTGTGGTCGGTGTTATTACACTTCATAGATCTCACAACCAAGTTCTACAAAATATATCCCTTCATTGTACAAATCTTCTGGTCATCATCCTTCTTCATATTTAGCTTTGTTGTAATAGTTGTCCGTAGAGTCTTTGGGTTATGCTTGAGGAAACTAATCCTTGTGATTGTATTAGAAAACCAAGTCCAATGATAATTGTATGAGCAGTATCTTCTTAAATCATGAACACATTTTTCTCCTAATAGACAATGGGTATCTTCAAAATAACCATCTCCTCCACATATAGGCCACCAATTTCCAATTTTATCCTTCCTATACCTAATCTATAAAGAGGCTTAGGAATGATGCAGTATTTGTACTTTATTAACTTTCATTCAGACTCATCCACTCGAAGGGGAGTGGGGAGAGGGGGACCACAGTACTATAGTACATTCGATCACAGACACAAAGACACAAGATAAAGGCACCACCAACTATAGTGGAACCAAAAGATTTATTAACGAATCCTCTTGAAATACTCTATGCTTTTAGAAAATAGAACAATAGCTACGATAAGTCAACTGCCAACGGACTCACTTAATCACAACCAATGATAACTTTCAGCACTAAACTTGAATAACAACTTTTTCATGTAACACCAATCGAAGATGATGATGGTCGCTAAGGATAAAGAGAACGAACACATATTGAATACAATTTCTAACATTTCACCTGCTTCCAAAGAAAAGGATATTTTATTTAAAATACGTAAAAATGATGACATGTTACTTACATTGATGACACAATGAGAACATTAATCCTACAACGAAATGATGATGTGGAACTCTTTTAGCCATGTCATCAATTAACCATGTATTAATAACATGAAACACAACTAATTTTATTTTTTTAAATGCAAGTAGAAAATGAAAAAAAAAATAAAGAAAAAGGAACAAAAAAAGTGGCAACATTTATTTGGCCAATGAATATTTTATGAATATACTCATATTGTTTTATAATATATTTATCAATGTAATATATAATCGTATAAATTCAATTGTTAATGAAAATTATTTGAATTATAAATAGATTATATCATTGACTAATGGTCAAAATAAAATATCCTTCTAAAATTAATGATTATCAAAGCGATGTGTAGATATCAAATAGTTAGCTCTTATGTCAAATTCTTAAAACAAGACATTAGTTATGACAGAAAGAAACAAGGCGCATAAGTTAGGATATTGATAGCATGATAGATAATAAAATGACTCAAAAAGATATAATATTGTTACAAAAGCTATTTCGTTATTATACGCGCATTCTTACTTGTTAGATGCTATCATTAACATGTTTAATATTATAAAAACAAGTTACTACTTCACCTCTAATACGTAGAAGAGGAAGGGAATATTGCTAAGACAAGCAAACATATTCACTTAAAGTATAATATTTGGAAAGATGGCGGGTGGAGCTTTAGTAACTCTAGAAAACGGAAGACAATATGAGGGTAAGATCACAACGTTCGTGTTGGTCACGTGTTTTGTAGCAGCCATGGGTGGTTTACTCTTTGGTTATGATCTTGGGATCACGGGAGGAGTGACTTCCATGGAACCTTTCCTAATAAAATTCTTTCCTAGTGTTTATAAACAAATGAAAGACGAATCTAACCACGAAAGCCAATATTGCAAATTTGACAATGAGCTCCTTACTTTGTTCACCTCTTCATTATATCTTGCTGCATTAATAGCTTCTTTTTGTGCTTCCACCACCACAAGAATGATGGGACGCAAGACCTCAATGTTTGTAGGTGGTTTTTTTTTCCTTGTTGGTGCTTTGTTGAATGGTTTTGCCATCAATATTGAGATGCTTATCATAGGTCGTTTATTGCTTGGTTTTGGTGTTGGATATTGTAATCAGGTGAGACTTCATATCATTTTCAATGCTTTCAAGTTTTATTATAAATGTAGATAACTTTTCATGATTAACTATTTTAAAATGTTTTCTTTCATTATTATTATATCCAATAGTCTGTACCTGTGTATTTGTCTGAAATGGCCCCAACAAGGATAAGAGGTGCACTCAACATTGGATTTCAAATGATGATCACAATTGGCATATTAATTGCAAACCTTATCAACTATGGGACTGCAAAACTAGAATATGGTTGGAGAGTTTCTTTAGGTATTGGTGCAGTTCCCGCAATAATGTTATGTGTAGGAGCTCTTTTCTTAGGTGACACGCCAAACTCTCTGATTGAAAGAGGTAAAATAGAAGCGACTAAGAAAATGTTGCAAAGGATTCGTGGCATTGATAATGTTGAGGAGGAGTTCCAAGACCTCGTTGATGCGACTACAACGAGCCAAAGATGTGGAACACCCATGGAAGAACATTACACAACCAAAATATAGACCTCAACTCACTTTTTGCTCTCTGATTCCATTCTTCCAACAATTCACTGGTATCAATGTCATAATGTTTTATGCACCCGTCCTCTTCAAAACTTTAGGCTTTGGTAACGATACTTCCCTTATGTCTTCCGTTATCACTGGAGGTGTTAATGTGGTTGCCACTGTTGTTTCCATTTTCACCGTGGACAAGTTTGGAAGAAGGATATTGTTCCTCGAAGGTGGCATTCAAATGTTTGTTTGTCAGGTAAAATCTTTAACTTAATCAATAGACAATGCTTGTTATTTTAATATTTTAAAAAAATTATCATTTTTATCACTTTAGTTAAGTCAATTTTTTAGCATGAACAACTAATTTGGAGGCCATAATAATTGCTTGTAGCTTGCTGTTGGAACCATGATTGCTATGAAGTTTGGAGTGAGCGGTGAAGGCTCATTTACCAATGGAGAAGCTAGTCTCCTCTTATTTTTTATATGTGCATATGTTGCAGCATATGCATGGTCTTGGGGTCCACTAGGGTGGTTGGTTCCAAGTGAAATATGTTCTCTTGAGGTTCGATCGACAGGTCAAGGCACCAATGTTGCTTGTAAACATGTTGTTCACCTTTGTCATTGCTCAAATTTTCCTAACCATGCTTTGTCACTTGAAGTTTGGCCTTTTCTTCTTCTTTGCTGGATTTGTCCTCATCATGACCATTTTTGTTGCCTTGTTCCTACCCGAGACAAGGAATGTTCGAATTGAAGAAATGAATAAAGTATGGAAATCACACTTGGTTTTGGACTAGGTTCATTCCAAATGATACCGTCATCGATGGACACCCTCATATGGTCACACCTTGAAATTAAATTCACCAATATTTTCATTTAAATGAGCCAAAAAAACTTCTATCATTTTTCACATGATCTCATTGTAATTACGTAAATCGTATTTATTTATTTATTATTTTTTTAGTACTACTTGGATTTTGTTTGATTTTATATTTAAAGTTAATGTTGAGTTATTTGATTAAATAGTTGGTCAAAATATTTGACACTTATTCAAAACACATTGTTATTTAACAAACACTACATATGTCCAACACTATGGTTATGTTTGGACCTAAGTTGAAATCATATTGAATGAAGAAAATTGTACATTTTAATACATAAATAGGTATGCAGTGCAAATGTTGAATTAAGTTAAACTTAAAAATGAATTTAATGAGACAAAATTCAAAAATAAACGCACAATTAAACTTGTTGGGGATTATGTTTTGTTGAAAGTTTCGAAATTTGTAGAAACTACCACCATATTTTTACTTTAATGGAGAATAATTTTTAGTCTCAAAACTTTCTTCCTTTTTTAATTTTTCAGTTCAAAATTTTATATCAAGTTAAAGTTATGGTATATTTACATGGCGGAGACATTGCCAACGTTGATATTAAGGTTAATAATGATGATAGTCATAAATATACTTTCCTCAGAAGTGGTACGATAAGTAATGGTGATAATGACACTAATTATGATATTGGTGACAATGATAATGAATATAATAATTATGATAACAATGTTTGTGGTAATAATTCTAATATTGATAGAAGCTGTGGTAATAATTCTAATATTGATAGAAGTTACGGTAATAACAAAAATGATTGTGGCAATGCTAGTCAAGATAATAGCTATGATAATGACCATGAATAAAATGTTCCCAAATATCAAATTCATATTCATAAATAGTTTTTCATCATTTTGAGAAAAACTCAATTAAGTGTTTCATACCCCAAAAAATATTGTGTTAACTCTGGTCCCTTTAATTTATTTTAGATTTCCTTAAAACTTTTCTCGTTGTTATCCCCATTATTAAACTATAAGTGATGATTTAACTAACACAGTTCCACATAAGTACTTTATTTTAGGATTCATGTACACACTATGTGGTATATGTAACTATACGTATTCATTTTGATTTCTTTTAAACAAAGTACCATTTGTTTTCAAAGGAGGTGGAATGTGAGGGATTAGTTTCATCGCATGTTGACGCTTTCTTCCCTTAGTAACCTTCATTATTCATTAGGGATAAAGCAAGGAGCAAGGATATCCTACACCAATTATATTTACTACAATATACACGATGAGAGGCCAAGAGACGCAGAAAAGGGCCAGAAAGATCAAAAGTTTTTCTCTGTGTATCTTAACTAGAAGCAATACAAAAGAACTTTAGAAAAACCTATCTCAAGCCAACCAAAGCATAATGACTCTTGGGACGATTGAAGCTTTAATCATTTGTACAATTAAATTATTTTATAAATCAATTTAATCGTCTCTTAATAATTTTAAAAAAATTAAAAGTAAATAATTTTATCAATGTTAATGAAAAATTTTATTTTTATGTATTACACCTAATGTTTTACTAATTTTAATTAATTTAATATAATTTTAATTTTTAATATATTTTATTTCTTAAGAAAATTGTGCTATAGTTTTTGTTTCTTGTCTTCGCCTTTGGTTAAGATTTATTTCTAAGGAAGATTCTTTAAAAAGACTAAAGATGAAATATTTTAAAATTACAAAGAAATAAAAA